GACGGTCGTGGAGGTTAACGGGCGCTATCAGCCAAGAACCAAACGCTAAACATTTTTTGCCTTTCTTTTTCTGAAGATGGTGAAAATGGTGGGCTTCGTTGTTTCAGAGGTGAGAGTATTAATTTTCATAGTGTTTTGGGAAATGTAGGAAGACGAGGTGCAGGCCCTTTTCTGATGGAGGATAGGCCACACAGAGGGGTTTTTCTCATTTAAAGGATTTATGGTGGACTCGAATTTAATGCTATTTTAATTCAATTTTTGGCCTCATTTCGTAGCCCCTGCTATTTAAACAGTTAAGATAATCCCCGAGCCAGCCTTACGTGACAAACTGGTTTAATGAGTAAACTCAAACGGAGCGCTCTTGTTAATTTTCTCCGAATTGTTGAACACGGTGATTTATTTATTTTTTTATAGGTTTCTTAACTCTGGTGTTTTGTTGGTGCTTGAAGCCTCAATAAAACCTGAGTTTGGAGTTCATTTCTCTGCTGCTCTCTGCGTTTGTACCGTGTCAGGGCTGGAGCGGAGTGGAGTGAGTGGAGATTGGCTCGCCCGGCCTGACCGAACAAAGGTCGTCATTTTCTGAAAGACAGAGCATGGCATGCAGAGATAAGAGGAGCGCTCTCTTACATTATTGCAGCGCAGATACCTACAGAGCGCCGTGGCTCAGGCCTGGAAAAACTGCCACTGTTTCTTCTGCCGTGAAGAATTGTGGGCAGACAGGAGAAATCTTCCCTAATGAGCTGAAGGAGCTGCGGGTTTGAAAATGTCAAAAAAGGACACATTAAACAGCGGGGTGCCACACAGACTGATTTCTTAGCCAAAATAATAAAAGATTTTTTTTCTTTAACTGCAATTTGTGCACAAACCTCAATGGCTGTGCATAATTTTGCATTTGGTCCAGTTTATGATCATAAGAAGGAGGCCCTGTAGCAGATTTAACTAAGTGATTTTAAAAGGGTTTTTTTGTTTTTTGTTTCTTTTAGAGGGATTATGGAGGGGGGGGGGTTGTAGGGGGTATTGTTTTTTTGCATAGTATCTGCAGTTTATTTGCTTAATGTTACAGATAAAATTTTATCTCGTAATAGGATACCTTCAGTTTTTCATCCTGTTTTTGCGGTATGAAGATTTAACAGGAGTTATGTTGTTCAAAAAATGTCTCAGGGCTCATCCGCTAAAGAAAACATGTCGCTTCGGACAATGGATTGGTTTTCATTTCCCTGATATGAATCTTGGTTATCATTTCGCTTGTCAGTAATGTGATGATATTGAGGAAGTAACTGCAGTGCTTGGCACATAGCTCTCCTGTTCTTTGTCTGTGGCCCATTCATTAAAAAAGTCTAGATCCCTTCAGTCTTTTCAAATAAGTGGCAAACACACCTCCGTTATTATTCTTCAAAAACAAAAACAAACACACACATCCTATTTAATTCCATCTCCTCATGTTCCATTTGCCTGGTTTTTTTTTTTTTTCTTTCTCTTGCCTCCACCATCTTCTCTCATTCCCACATTATTCACGTGTTCAGCGTGGCTGTGTGAGGCAGGCGTATGCTAGCACGAACAATCGGCACCCGGCCCGGCTCAGCCTGGTCCAGATGGGGTCTGTACCCCCCTTCCTCCCCCAACAGTAGCAGCCAGTCAGCCAGCCAGCCAGGCAACCAACTAGCCAGCTAGCTACCCACCTGGGTAGCCAACCAGTCATTCACCCAGCCCGTCATGCGGCCTTTCAGCCAACCTGGCAGCCAGCTTGTCAGCCATTCAGTGGACCAGCCAGTCATCCAGGCTGCAGCTCCTCTGTCAGACGCTGACAGAGGGAGCAGGCCAGGCTAAATCTGATGGTCCTGGGAGCCAACCAGAGGACTCTGGCCTTTGTAGGGCGTTCACACAGACAGCCTGTCCCGTTGCACAGCAGGGGGCTTCAACTCACAATCAAATGAACGGACCCTCAACTTTGCCACATGACAAGTTAGCTTTTTATGGCTGCCCACTGTCAAGATTCCAGTTTTGACAATGTCTCTGTAATTCCTGTGAGCCTTGTGGACTAATTCATGTAATTTGGACTGCGTAAATGGGTAAATGTGTTCCTTTTTTGTAAATTGGGAGAATGACATTTAAATGCACTTCTAGGGAGTGGAGCAGCCCTTACGTATTTCACATCAAATCATCACAGAGATATTATTTTTCTGACAAATGCATCCGATTATGTTGAATCGGCCCTCGGTGGGAGCCTTTGTGTCAGATATTTCTCGCCTGGTGCTCTGGGCACAGCTTGTACCTCTGAGGTCGTGTGAGTCAGCCAATGAGGATGAGACAACTTGCTGTCCAGAGCAGCTACGCAGGCCCATGCTCCCTCACTTTCTGCTGCTGTTAAGTCCCAATTATGTGTCATTGTGGGATTCATAATGCAGCACGATGAAAATATGGGCAATTAACTGGCGGCAGAATGAAAATATTATTGTCCTTACTATTATAAAGACCAGCATATCTAAAGCTGAATGCATTCGACTCAACTTTGCAATTACAGGAAGCTGTGTAGTCTGTTTTTGATAGTTTTATAAGGCTTAAGCTATATAGGCTACTTGCATAAACCCATCCACCACAGCATTTTGAGGCATCATTGTCAATCAGATCCAGCTTCTCACCCACAAACAAGACAACTCTCCAATTTGATAACAGAAACTTTTAATGTGTTTCTGTTTCTATGGTGCTGGAGCTATTAAAGTGGAGTAACAGGAAAAGGAAAAAAAGGAGGCGAAGGGGCCAGTTTGGATGTAAGACTGCATTTTGAAACAGGAGAGCATGTTTTTGGATGGTATTTTTTGTTTTGGGGGGTGGAGGGGGGTCTTTTTCTCCCCCCTCCTCTCTTTGTTTGTGTGGTAAATCCAGGAGCAGCTGCTGGTCTCAGGGTCTAGTGGGATTTTGGGTCTGTGTTTTCTCATGCCATCCCATGCCAAGGTGGTGTAACGCGAGCAGAGAGAGAGAGAAAGAGAGAGAGAGTGGGAGAGGGGTGTTTCAGGAGTGGGGGGTGCAGTTAGAGAGTGAGCTGGTTTGTTGGGATGGCTGTGACCATGTTGGTGACGAAGGTGGTGAGGGAGGGAGAAGTGTGTGGGGGGGAGCTTTAGGAGGCGGGTGCTGTCTGGATGCATGTAAAATTAATATCCTCTGGACTTTGCCTTTGCACTAGATTGGAACTTGTCTGTTTGGCTAATGACGTGCCTTCTGCCTGCACCACACACAATCCACCCCCTCCCGCCCTCTCTCCACTACCAGCCACCAACCATCCACACCCCCACCTCTTTGCTTCTCCCTCTGCCATCTCTCTCTTCCCTCCTTTTCAGTGCTTTGAGCGTGCGTATTGGCTGGGCTGTTTGAGACTCGATGCCAAATAGGTGGGCCCTCTGCGTGTTGGCACAGACTCAGTCAATGGTTAGAGACGGAAAGTGGAGAGGAAGAGAGAAAGAGAGAGACAGAGTTGGAGAGAAAGAGGGGGAAAAAAGAAGCTGCACTCGGGTTTGCCAGCGGTCGTGCACAGTCTTCCAACATTGATTCGGTCCTCTTGTTTTTGTTTTTTTTTCCCTTCTTCTCCTCTGTCCGCACCCCCCTTGTCCAGCTCTCTCTCTCCCTCTGCGTGAGTCTTATGCAGATCAGAATTGAACCAATAGCACGCGCTGCTTTGCCAGCCATTTTTTTTATTTTTGTTTTTCATCAAGATATTTTCTCTGCATGTTTTTGCAAACAAAGAAAGAAGCTTGTTTTAATTTTTGACAATTTTATTATTTTGCTGCACTATCTGTTTTATTTTATTTGTGCACACCCAGCTCCTTTTTTTCATCCTTGTAGACACAGAGATTGCTAAACTTTCTACACTCCTTCTGCTCTGCTCTTGCACAGCACCTCTCCTGCAGCTCTTGCTACAGTACCTCCTGTGTTCTTGTGCTGGTATTACACTGCACCCCCTGGCCTGTCTCCTCTTTCTCAGCTTTTTTGCCCCCTGCTGCTTTTATTGGACAGTTTATCAGCTTCTTTTTTTTGCTTCTTTTTTTCCCCCCTCACTCTTTTGTTTTCAGCATTACTTCAGCGCCTTTTTTGACTCTACAATCCAGTTATTGTACTGGCTCTGCATTTTAAGTTTCTTTGCAATCGACGGGGTGAATTTATGATGAGAGAGCAAAATGGTAACTACCATGTAATTCTTGTTTTATTCACAAATATTTTTTGATCGTTACTGTCGTTACGTTAAAGTACTGATCGTTACTTTTGAGTGCAGGCGCAGTTGTATTATTTATGGACAAATATTTTATGTTGTGGCTTTTCAGCGAGACGGCTTTAATTTTATTAATCAGAATTTGGCATGTGCGTTCTTCTTGATTATGTTAGTGTTTTAAGCATTGTATAATACGCGTGGTCAGTTTGAATTATGTTTTAGAAATGTTGTGTTTTTACTTGACTTTTTGATACTTACTATAATGCTTTTGAGAATAATACTGTTTATGTTTAGTAATGGATTAGGATGGCACTATTTTTTATTTATAACTAGCACATTTGTTTATATTTAACCAGACAAACAACATTTACACAAATATCTCATGGAGACAAGTCTCATATTTTTTCTGTCTCATCTCTTACCTCAGTCATTCAGTGATGTGTTGTTCAGTGGTTTGTGAAGTGTGTCCTTCGGTGCGATGTGTCTGTATTAGAGAGCGCAAGGTATCTTTCTGTCTCCCTCTCTCTCTCTCTCTCTCTCTCTCTCATTCTCTCTCTCTCTCTCCCTCTCTCTCTGCGCCTCTCATTCTCTCCCTCCACTCACACGGAGCAGGCGCCGCTCCTCCATGCTGCGCGCCGGTGCTAACTGCCTCTCCTCTCTCTTCCCCTCCTCACCCCCTCTCCCTCTCTCCCCATCCTTCTCTCCCCCATTCTCCCCCTCTCTTTCCAATGCCTCCTCCTGCTTCCCCCCCTCCTCCCTCTCCTCATCCACCCTCCCCCCATCTTCCTCCCTCATCCAGGATGAATTCCACCCCTTCATCGAGGCCCTTCTGCCCCATGTCCGCGCCTTCGCCTACACCTGGTTCAACCTGCAGGCCCGCAAGCGTAAATACTTCAAAAAGCACGAGAAGCGCATGTCCAAGGAGGAAGAGCGTGCAGTGAAGGATGAACTGCTGGGAGAGAAGCCAGAGATCAAGCAGAAGTGGGCTTCACGCCTGTTGGCCAAGCTCCGCAAGGACATCCGGCCTGAGTTCCGTGAGGACTTTGTGCTCACCATCACGGGCAAAAAGCCCCCCTGCTGCGTGCTGTCCAACCCCGACCAGAAGGGCAAAATACGTCGCATCGACTGCCTGCGCCAGGCTGACAAGGTGTGGCGGCTGGACCTGGTGATGGTCATCCTGTTTAAGGGCAGCCCCTTGGAGAGCACGGACGGAGAACGACTGGTCAAGTCACCGCAGTGCACCAACCCTGGCCTGTGCGTCCAGCCACACCACATCGGAGTGTCCGTCAAGGAGCTGGACCTCTACCTGGCCTACTTCGTCCACACGCCAGGTATGTGAGAAACTGGACATCAGACATTAATTGAGAGGGATGCCAGCACATAAACACTCGCCACATGTAATCATGTCGGTGTGCTTTTAGGATCGCGCTAACATTTTAACAATTTGAAACACAACAGAAACACAAGTGCATACCTTAATTTGCAATATAGTAAAATATAGAAAATGACAAAAAACATAAAAAGAATAACGTAAAAGTAAAAATATTCAGAGACACAATAAAAACCTTTTTACTACTACGGAGGGAACGTTAAAGTAATAACTAAGCAGTTAAAAGGTAAGAAAAAAAATAAAGTAAAGATTTATCTCTCAGATTAACAAAGTGAAAGTCCCTGCTTGCTTTTGTTCCCACAGAAAACAGCGGGTACGTTTTTGTTCTTTTAATATTTTTCTTTTCTTCATCTGTTTCTTGGGGTTTGTTTACATGACAACGTAGTATCAACAGTAATAAAAAAGAATTTGTTAGTGTGTGTCAGGGGCATACGTCCAGCGTGCTCTGGCAAGTAAGCGTTCATTATTCTGAGCGAGGCATTTGCGGCTTCATATGAGCATGTATTTTGTGTGTGTGTGTGTTTTGTTTTTTTCCTAGGAAAGAATTTGCATGCTTGTGTGTGTCTGTGTGTGTTTGAGTGACTGTTTTTTTATGAGATGAAATTTCTGTGTTTTTTGCGCAATGAATTTTGCACAAAGAAGAGTCACTGTTTATAGTATTGTACACAGTCTGTCGAGGTATATCTGCCATGGTAAGACCATTGTAGCCAGAAATCATCATTTGGCCGCAGCCCAGGTTGTGTGTGTGTCGTTGTGTGTGTTGTGTGTCTGTGTGTGTGTGTATGTGTGTTGTGTGTGTGTGTGTGTGTGTGTGTGTGAGAGAGAGAAAGCGAACAGAGCCGTGAGCCTCCTGCTCTCAGGCCGCAGGCTGCTGCCGCCTTCACCGTCTGCCTGAACGTTAGCACCACGTTGGACCTGGCTGCCAAACTCACACTCACACACAAAACGCCAATGCTCAAAGACAGCCAGTACTATTGCAGCCACCTTCACACCCATACACACACATACAAACACAGCTAAATAAAGATACACACACACTCTTTTAAAAAAAAAAGGAAAAAAGAAAAGAAAAACAACTCTGTCATCTCTGCAGCGCACTTTCACACGTAAAGGCAAACACGGTTTTAGTCACGATTACGTACACACACCCACACAGCACACACGTTCGGCCAAGGACTATCACAGATACAGTTTAATACAGCCAAACATTGTTGTATCGCAGCCACCATCATGGATACACACACTCACACCCGGCCAAACATCACTGTAGCCTCCAGTGCGCATACTCCTCACACACACAGCCAAAACACTGGCTGTGTTGTAGTTTTCCCCCCCACATTGCAAAAAAATAAAAAAACTGTCAGAGAAGCCACACACACGCAGACACACACACACACACACACACACATAATATATCTCACAGCCAAGTCTTCCAAATACACACTGCTTAACCATTTGCTGGCTACATATACAAACACACACTCATGACCTAATATTATGTCAGCTGGAATTTTCTGGAAATTTCAAACAGTGACTCAACCCGCACATATACAGCATATCCCAATCACTGTCCAAATACGCACACACACACACGCGCGCTCTTGTGTCTGCCGAGGCACAACTCTTACACTGGGCATTAACATTACTCTAGCCAAATGCTATCATAGGTGATCCTTAGGCTCTCTCTCTCTCTCTCTCACACACACACACACACACACACACACACACACACACACACACACACACACACGCAAAATATCAATCCAGGCCAAATAACTCACAGCCTGAGCCAAACCCTGGCAGCAGTTCCAGCTTCACTTTGTTGGTCTCTCTGTGGCGGTAATAAACCATAGGTTGCGGCCATATTAGAGCATACTGACAGAATATCAACAGTGTTTGGGTTTTTGTTTTTGTAGATGTAATTGATTGGATTTTTTTTTTTTTATAATCAAATTTAATCACGAAAAAAATGTCTCTTATAAAGATTTATTGGTATACTGGTGCATTTCGGGTCAGTTCTGTTTTACGCAAACAAAAATGTCTCCCCTTGTAAATTTTGCAAAATTAGTTTAATCATAAAATGAAAACTAAATCAAATGACACGCATATTTTAAGAGGTTATTTTTAATCTTTCAAATATTTTAAATTCATGGAGAAAGCAAAATGGCATGCTGGACAAAGGAATAAAGGAACACACCAATGAACAACAGAAAATATTTTATTCATGGTGTAATTCTGTGTATATTAGTTTAAGTAATTGAAGCTGCTTGGGTTTAAAACCTAGTGAGTAAAGGTTGCTACAGATGTTCTGATGTGTCCATACACACAAATGTAATTGAATTGCACTAAATTTCCTTTACCTGTACTGATGACGTCAGCCGTCCAATTTTCGGGTTCTTGGCATGTATTCATCACTGCAGCTCTTAGTTTTACAACAGTATAGTAAAACACGTGACTACTTGGAGGCCCTTCCCCGTGCGCTGCCCATTCATAATGTCGGCTTACTGGATACTTTGTCTTATCTTATCTGACTAATACAATATATAATTATACAATAGTGTGCCTCAGCACTTTTATCTTATTCCAAAGAACCGATTTTCACTTTAAGGCCTTGTTGGAGAGCTGCTTTGGGGTCTACACCAAGTGCAAACTTGGTGTAGAAAGCACACTTGTCTTTCCTTTGCTTTTAACTCACATTTAGGAAATGGGCATCAAGGCCTTCCGTTTCTCTGTTGCACTCATCTGTTACAGTGATGTGTGGTTGTGTGTTTTCCTTTTCCACTCACTTGCACAGTGAATGACAAGATGTGCTCATTGTTTGTTTTTGTTTGGTTTGTATTTTGTCGGTCTTTAGCATCTCTGTCTTCCTCGCTCCTCTTTGATCCCGTGCACACTTTTGTTTTGTCTCCTTAAACATCGCCTTCATTGTTGCTCTCACAGAGGTAAAGCCTCCGCTGATCTCTTTTGTTTATATTGTAGGAGACTCGGAGAGAGAGTGAGGGAGAGAGAGCACGTTGGGAAGCAGAAGAGGCTACAATAGTGATTGTTCTGTTTGGCAGCACCCGGGCCCCGTTGGTGTGGGAAGAAGAGAAAGACGTCTTGTGTTTTGTTTATGACAGAGTGGCAAAAGCTGCCACGGGGAATCTCTGGGCTTGCCGTCAGGCTTTCTCAGACTGTTCTGCAGCCAGCCAGCCTTTGAGATCCTCTCTGTTACAGAGCATAACACACCGCAGCCGTAACAGAACAAACCACGATGCCACAATACAAAACCTTCTCCGCCTGTTTTCAGGCACCTCAGATAAAGAGTAAAAAAAAAAAGCAGACAGAGCAACATGTCTTTGAAACTGAATGACTTTGTAACTGAAATGCTGGCAGAGAAATAGATGAGAGGGAAAGAGGGGCTGTGGTGCAGTACAGTGAGTAGTGTATTTTTAGTGTTTATTAAGAGTGAGTGACTGGTATATTATAATGGAGATAGTGATCTCTTGGCCCGGAAGTGCCAAGGGTCTGCCAGAGCACCGAACACTGCCAGTGTCCAGTTGATAACCCATGAATGGAGCGCTTTGGATAGGCTTACACGTACTTCACCGTACTAGCCTGGATGTAGTTCTCACTTCTGTTACTCTGACTACTGCATAGGTGGCTGCAGCTGTACACCATCTGAGGAGAAGTTATTGCTCCTCCTCACAGTATTCAGTGGACTATTTGATTTATAATCTTTGGGCTGTTTTAGATTAAACTCAGCACATTTCTGATTTATTCGAGGTTGGAAAAATAGAAGATTAAAAAAAACATTTGTCAGGTCCAAAGTTAGCTCTATGCACTTAGTCATAGCTTGGAAAGCATTCTTCCAGCGTTTTATTTTTTTTCCCCCTTTTTCTTTTGTACGCCGTAAGTGTGATCATGAAAAGATGTTTCAAATGTGTTTCCAATCAAAAGTGCAGTACAGGAAATTTGCAGTCACTCTGAGGGAGGTGTGAAATGTGCTCGCCGTGCCATTTCTGCCATGACCGCTCCACACTCCACGCTCTGTAGTGCCAGATCCCGCCTCTCTCTCACTATAGCAGTAGTCATGCCTTGGACATTGCTGTGAGAAAGCCCAGAGAAGCCTTAGTGTTGTGGCCAGCCCCCCCGCCAATTCGCTGACCACAGCTAGGATTCACAAATAAAACCCTACTTGCGTTCATCACTACGCAAAACTCTAGAGTTTATGGGGATGAAAAAGGTAATTAAATGTGTGAGGAAAAAAGGTGAAAAAATGTAGTAACAGGAAAGGGAGAGAAAAAGAGAAAGGAATCCTGACACTCAGGAATCACGTGAATTGTTTGTGACATCTTAAAAGTTAAAGGAATGCTCTGATGGATTCCACAGGTCTTCTTTTCCCCATAGCTCGTTGTTTTTTCCCTGTGAAAATAATCTGTTGTTAATTACTTCCTGGATCTCCTCTCAGACTCCCATGACATCACAAGGTTTGAGTGGACTATCCTTGTGTGCAAGCACAGCTTAGGATGGCCGTCAGCAGTGAAGTTTTGATTAAATGAAATCTTGACACTCGGGAGGGGGGGTCGGTTAGGTCTGAGGCTTTTCTGTTGTGTGTGTGGTGGGAACAGGGCCCACGTCGGCTAAGAAAAGCTCTCCACATGCAGAGCAGCTTTGGCATCAGCAAATGTTTACTGATGACTCTCGTTTAGTCGGGTCTTTTGCACATCTCTGCCTTTCTGTCTGGCCTCAGGGACGCGTTGAGGTGGCTATGTATCAAATCTAAAGGGTTAAGACGCAGGGAGAGCCCCGTCACATTAGAGAGGCCGAGTGAGAGGGAGTCTTCTCACACTATTCTTGGCTTCAGAAAAAAGTCTGTGTATTTGGATAGCTATTGCTATCCGTCTAGCCAAAGCCCTGTTGTGTACTCATTCGTTCCAAAACACGCGCACACATACACAGACGCGAGGCTAACATTGGGGTGTCACAGACGCACATAGATTGATCCAAAACCGCAGGGTCTGCATTTATCTCATGAGACCATGATGACACAAGCTGACTCGAGGGAAAATTAGAAAAACAAAAAAACACGAGAAAGGCGAGTCAAAGACAATGTTGTTGTGTTTGGTGTCCCATTAAATTGACCAGTGACAACTGGCATGCTCCTTGATACGGTGCCTTTTGTCCTAGAAAAGCTCTCCGCTTTTTTTGGTTTTACATAACGATCATAAGCCTCCATTTCTTTGGCTGTGCCTGACTCGGGAGAGAGTAAAACCCATGAACAATTCTGGTCTACCCGCATCTGTTTCCTTTTGTGTGAAGAGTTTCAGTGTCGGAGATATGCGGTAAATAGATTATTCCAGTGAAATTGGGAGGCCATCACTATGGTGGAGGAGACAAATAAGACAGTTTGTGCTATTTGGCTCTTTTACTGGTTTTTCTCAGATGCCCTGTGTCTTTTTGAATGAACCCAGCTGTCAGACTTTTTTTCTGCTCCCCATGAGAAGAAGCACTGCAGCGTAAACGCAAAGCAGGTAGAGCAGCAGAAAAGCAAAAGGAAATTTTCAGCATTTCAGCGTTCTGTGGTTTTCATGATTAGGGGAAAAAACGTCTCAAATTAAACAATTTACATTTCTTTGGATACTAATTGTGCATATCTTTTTTTCCTTATAGTATTTTAATTTATTGCAGTGCTCAATTTATATTTACAACTACACAATTTTAGATTTCCACAAATTAAATTAACCTTTAATTTAAATTTTGGCCCAGTGGTGATGTGTTCAAAATAATATCTTGAAATACATTATGCAAATTAAAGTAAATGTATCTTTATTATTTTCACTAATTTAATAATGTAACACATTGTTGCTATTTTTCCGCCTAAATTACTCTTCAGACTGGCATGTAATACATGCTTAGCAGTTTTTTGTTTATTTGAAAGAAAAGACGAGTGTTTTCACACGCTGCCGAGCCTAGTCTAATACCTACTGTTGAGATTTAATTGCACATTAAAACACAGTAACGTTTGTTAAATAAAAATGGGTGTAGGCTAAGCCACGCCATGCAGTGATAAAAACTGCATTCTTTACTTGAGCTGAGTGGGCTTTTTAACATTTTTTATTAGGAGAAAAACTAAAGTGTAAAAAAAGAAGGGGGGGGGGCAAGAAAAAGAGATGAAAAGAAAGAGGTTATTGAGAAAAAAGAGAGTCAGAAGCAGCGAGGGGGAGGTATTGTCTGTATTAATACTGTGTCTTCCCAGTGCCGGGTCTCTTTTCAGGCTTTTGTAGCGGCGCCAACCATGAAATGTGTCTGTCCCCAAAAACCATATACCCACTCAGGAGGGTTTCCCGACCTCAGAGAGACAGAGAGGAGGAGGAAGAGGAGGAGAAGGAGCAGGAGAAAGAGCGCTATGGCCAATGCTCAATCTCAGACAGGCCAGCCAGAAAGGAGGGAGAGCCAGGGAACACGGCTTATTCACCGGGCTGCACTCACAGCGAGGCCCTGGCAAAGGCTGCTGAGTCTGGCTAATGGCAGTATTCAGTGCCACACAGCAATAGGCGTGCTATAATAAGTACCTCAGTACTGTATTTTAAATCCAAGGCACTATTACTTATGTTTCTGTTGTTTTTATTAAATTTTTCCCCGCATAGTTATTTTTCTTAAGAGAAGCGGTTTTGCTGAGTTTGTTTTGTTGAATTAAAAGTTGGGTCAGTACCGATTTAGAAAAAAGAAATAAAAATATCATCTATTTCATTTTATTTTGCACATGTGGGTTGAAGAATAATGAAATTATTATGTGGGCGAATTTAACACGGCAAAGGAGTCTAATGTTGAAAGTGAGAGGAGTTGTGTCGGCGGTCGCTTTTGGCACGATGCTATCTCCCTGCATGGAAGACGCCAAATTTTCATGATATTCCCTGCCAACCTCCTCCCTCTGATCCTCTCTTTCTTCTCTTTTCTTTCCTTCGCTTGTTCCGCTTTTCTTTTATTCCTCTTTAAGGTTCAAATGAATGCCCTCCCTTAGCCTCATTAACACCCTGGACTTCTATTTGCAGCTACAAAAAAATGTAAAATAACTTGTAAGCACAAACATTTTAGCACTCAATAGGACCATTTTTCTCAGTTTTAATGAAAGCAGGCCATCACACATGTGGAGGCTTTGAACCTTGATTTTTTTTTTTTAGTGGCCAAAGATGTTTTGTCACCAGTCATTTTTTTATATTTCAAATTACAGAAAAACCTTCAACACTCTTTATGGTTAGTATGTAATGCCTTAGTTTATTTTTACATTTGTTTATTTGTCAGTCAAAGTATTTTTGTGTATGCAGTCAGGCTGGATTGCAGTTTAGTTTCCCTTCTGGATAAATGTAGTCCTTTCACTTTATGATATTTGCTTAACTCATTATTTAATTTGGTTGCTTATTATTTTCTGGTTAAAACATCATCACACTGAGATGGTCCGTCTTTCCGAAAAAGCCACTCTTAGATGTTTGGAGGAAAAAACACTTCATGAAGGCTTCATTTGATGTTTGTTACACCGTGAGAAGGAGAGCAGTTTAGAGAAGACAGAAAGTGGGGTGGAGGGGGGTGGGGGTGAATAAGTGAGCTAGCCGAGAAGCACAGCAAAATGCAGAGAATCAAATTTGGCATGCGTCTGTGTAAGCGAGTAAGCTTCAAATCAGTTTGGACACAGATCTAGGACACTAGACATAGAGAAGAAAGCGGGATGAAACGGGATAGGGAACAACATGGAATTGGGAGCAGGCATAGTGTGTATATTTTGTATTTATGTTGAGCATATAGGGGGTGTAGTTAAGGGGAGGATGAGATGGAGGGGGCTGGTGGATGAGGATGCGGTTTGTTGGGGAAAGGCGGTTGACGCGGGGGGTGTTTTGGTAGAGTGTCCCTCAATGACGACTTGAAAAACAGGCCGGTAAATAAATGGAGTGGCGGTAAACAAGGCTCGGCGCTTCATCAAAAGACCCCATTCATCTGTGAACAGGAGAGTCTCTCTTTTCTCTGAGGAGACAGAGAAAGGAACCCACTGACGCTGACGAGAGGACGGCGCTTGTTTAGATAACAGGATGAGTTTGGAGTGAAATGGCATTAGTGTGTGTGTGTGTCTATGTGTGCGTGTTCACGTTTGAGTTTGAGCGAGCTTGGAGGGGTGTGCAGAGCAGGTGGAAAGTGGACAGAGTCTCAGCGAGTGGAGTAAGATGGGGGCAGAGATAGTGTTTTGTTTTTTGTATGTGTGTTTGTTCTTTATCACTACCATGGATTCAGGAAAGGATGGTGTTTTCAGGGGTTAGAATTAAGGACTAAAGACGGTGTGTGTTTGTGTGTCTAGTACAAAGCAGTGTAGTGGGTGGTGGTGGGGGGTTCTTTTGGCAACGTTTATGTGTGTAAGCACAGGCGTGCATATGTGTGAGAGTGCATATGTGCATATGTCTGCTCATTATACATGGTTATTTTTTCCAGACCAAGCACTATGCTCTACTTTGCATGATTTACAGTACTATGAGCCAAGCAGGCGTCTTTTTTTAGATTCAGAGTTTGGAAGGAGAAGAGTTTTGGGGTCTCAGGGACACCATGGTGAACTGGCCACAGCAAGGTATTATGCTTCGCTCTCTGTTTCAGCTGTTTATAATTCAGCTCGTCGGCCCGTCGGCCAAGGGAGCCAGGTGTAAACTAACTGCTAAAAAGTCCTATGGCGCATTTCTGTTGTGAAAACTTTCTCATTAAGAGGAGATGAATTTATGAACACGAAGATCAGGGTTAAGTCACCTCCAACCACTTAGTGAATTGTAATTGAAAGAGCGGAGCGGGAAGCCAAGTGAGGGGCGTCTTTTAAAAGCTTTTATTTGGTTTATGTTTAATTGTGTTACACTTGAGTGTGACTGTTAACAACTCCGACTCTTTTAAACTTGCCTGTAATTGTTAAGAGCACGTCTTGTTTATAGTCGCGGCCTTGTGCAGTAAGACGCGAGAAGTGCATCTGTCACTTTGCAACTTGAGTGATCTGACAGCTGAGCTTTATACTTTTCATTTACAACCTCGGAGCAGTGGAAGACATGCAGTACTTTCATCTTGTCATTGACAATGTTAAGAGACTCTTAAAAACCCTTTGTGTAGGTGGCAGCAGCATCCACCACACACAGTACCGCAGTTTCTCTGTTGCCGTCTGTCTTATTTTTAGGGGATGAATGTTTTAATTTTAATGTCCTTCCATTAATATGTTTTTCTACACTGACTGGTATGGTTTTTTTTCGTTTGTTTTTTTAGTCAGAAATCCCCCCTTCTCTCTGTCCCCTTTCTTGCCACCCCAAAGTCCCCCTCCCCAGTCCACCGCCTGCTCCCCTCACGTTTATTGGACCCAAATTCGGCTGCCACCATGGCAACCCGGGCTCCCAGGGAACCTTGCCTGGGTGCAATCCAAGGTGCCTTCAGGGTGGCACTGGCTGGCGTTGTCTGCGTCAGTGGGCTGTCACCACGGCAGGTTGCTGCGACAAGGCCAGCCCGGTTGTGGCCTGCCTCAGTGGGAGTGCTAGCTCGCTAACCTCCTTTAACTAACTACTAGCTAACATGACCTGCCATATCCGGTGACAGTAGCTGCCGCTTCAACTGCTGCAGGCCTCGGCAACTGCAACGTGGGGGAAGCAGGGGAAGCGTTTCACCAGTACGCATATTGATGTGGCATGGCTGGGTGCCCATTGCTGCCTCCCACATGAAAGAAAACAGGGAGAGAGACGAGAGAGTGAGAGGGAGAAAGATGGTATAGAGATGCGTTTTCAGTGTGTAATATATGAGTATATACATTTATTTAAACAATGCTCTTCTCTTGGGGTGTGTAAACATTCAGCTGCACATATTTGGCTCCGCATGTGTTGCCAAAGCACGTGTATGATCTATAAATGCATGATTATGATCTGTGTACATCATCATGCATCTGTTGAGGCAATATGGTTTTATGACTGATGCCGACAACCATCAGTGGCCCAACAATTCGAACGACAAATGAAATTAAAACATGATGGTATATTGTTTAGTTCTTGTTTTTCTTTTCAGATTGCAATTTTTTTCTCCTCCACAAAGTGTGTGACTGTATGCTTCTGTGTAAGTGCATGGCTTTGTCTGTACAGTCATCTGTTTTATCCTGTTTAATTGCAAACAAAACAAATAGGTGACACACAGACTGTTCGTACTTAATGGGATGATAATGTTAGTGCGATCCAGATTGTATGCTAAATAGAAAAGGACACTTGTGAATGGTTGTATTTATTTGTGCTTTTTCCAGACAGTGGAAATCCTGCAACACTTTGGGCACATTTTCTCTTTGCATGGATTGGCACCTGGTGCATCCACCCACCTTTTTTCCTTCAAACACACACATACACACAGGCCAAGCGCAAACTGCTGAAACCTAGTCAGTGGGTAGTCTGGTACAGTAGGGATTCGTGCGGTGCTTATTCTTACCTCAGCTTTATCCAGCGAGGCATTCCTGCTGTGGCACTGTAAACAATGCAAGGCCTGCTGACTTAGAGCATCGTAAGTGGTAACACTTTTCAGGACTATATGAAGCCCTGTATAGTTTCTATATATAACCACTTCAGAGTAACTGTGATGCTCTTTTTTTTGTGGTGCACCTATAGAGTTTGGACTACAGTTAAAGCACATTTCAGAGGTTCACCCAATTAAAGCTACATCCAGAACATGTTCAGAAGCTAAAAGTAGCTGCGGAAAAGTGACTAATCGCTTAAAATTATGACTAGAAAAAGCAGTTTAGGCAGCACTCCATTTGGAGACTTTGTAGCCACTCTGAGTGCTCTCCATGCACTACATTCCAGCTCTAAACTGCACAGAGTAGTTAAGGGTAGGGCAACACATTGGCTCTGCAGGGAAGGAATGGATATCTCATCACCCTGCTTTCCTAAACTGTGAGTCAGTATCCCTAAGTTGCCTTGGGCCAATCACTGTTAACAGTTGGGCTCCACTTGATGAAAATACCAGTTTACAATTTACCTGGTCCGGGGTTCAGAAGTACTTTACTAGAGGGACTTCTGGGCAGTTTGGGTACAGCTTGGTATTAAATCTCTTTGACTGGGTCTTTTATATTTTACACCACTCTTTTATCTCGATTTTCCTCTCTCTTTGAGAACAAAGTCAGCGTTTCTTCCTTACTCCTAAGTGAGTTCAGACGGGCCAGAGAGACGGTGCATTCGTCACGCGAGGTGTGTAAGGAGATATGATGTGTGATGCATGACGGTGCAGCATGCGCGCTCAGAGCTGCCAGCTGGTGTAAAGGGGCCAGAGGTAGAAAGTTTAACAGAGAAAGAAAAGTTTGACAGTGAATCATTTAACACTGTATAAACTGCAGATGAATTATTGTTAAATTCCTCCTTCCTTTTCTGATTCTCTCATTTTCTGTAGTCTCTTTCTCTTCCCTGACCTTAAATTGAGGGTTAGATTGAGGATAGTGACGGGCTAATGAGCCCCTTTTTCCTGCAATTACACCCCTCTCTCCTATTCCCTCTGTCTCTCGCTGTTTCCATCTCAAGTTCTCTGTTTTAGCATTGTCTGTTCATTTTTTTCTTTCAGGCAAATTATTCAGTTTCCTTAATCTCTTCTGTCTCATGTTTCTCCTTTCCCCAGTTTCCCTTTTTTCCTGTCACCTTCTTAGAAAGTAGTGGTAAATCAAGATGGCACTCCATCTTTTAAGGTGACATGATGGTCAATTAAAGAAATCTGGTCCTAATTTGTAGTTGATTGCTATCTGAGATTTTGGATGGAAACTCAGCTTGTTAATAAAGAAAAAATGCAGAACCTTGCTTCCTTCTCTTTGCTCCCTCCTTTGTTTTCATTTGATTAGACTTTTTATTTTGGCTTACTCTTCGCGTTGGCTTCATGTCGTTTTGTTTTTTCTTCATTGCTCTCTGAATTACACTTACTCAAAATCAAGAGTACATTTTTAGTTTATGTAGTGAAGATTGGAAAGTATATTTTACCTTACCATATTATTCACGTGGTACTCTTGGTTGTTGGCATATTGGCAACACATCTTGGTATACAGGCTCATTTTTTCTTTCCACACTCTCTTTCACTTAGTGGGTCTAATTTGTCTCTTAAACACAGAGAAACTTTTGTATATGTGTATTAACATGTTTAACTGGAGGTGTACATGGAAAAAATGACATGATTTCTTTTCCTTTCATGGTGCCTGGTTGCTGTTTGTGTTTAGCTTGATTGCTAACCCGCTGTGTCTTCCTCCCCACTGTGCGCTGGCCATGAACTGGAGCAGAGTTTTCAAGGGTTTCGTGGCCCTTCCTGCTTTTTAATTCTATGACATAATGTGTCTATACAGAGTAAAAACCACTGCTCTTTACTAGTCTAACATCCTTGGAACAATTAGAGCCTCGAAGGCTATGGATGTGAGTTTAAAACAGTTCATACATGTTAAGCATGCATATGTTGATGTTGGTGCAAGATCACGGTTATTTTTAATTTATTTAATGATTAAAGTATTTGACAGCATGTCACCGTCGAGGCTTGCCTTTAGCTGTATTGTCACCATGCGTTTGAATAACAGTGGTGTGGCTTAGTAAGTTAGATTAAAGCTCTGGTGCCCAGCAATCACCCAACCTGTTAAAATGGCCTTGAACAAGACACTGAATACCCAGCAGCTCCAGAGGTGTTACTCTGTAACCAACCCCAATCTTTGACCCCTCTGAGCACTGCAACAGGAGTAAAGAATTTTTACAGGAGTTCAGTGGAGTATCACATTATTAGTAAACCCTAGCATAGAGCCATGATCTTTGGTTCGTGAATACCTTGCACAGGTGATAATGGGAAGCTACCTCCTGGCCTAGCAGCAGTTGCTTCACATCTTTTCTCCGTGCCTTGTGCCAAGTAAAAGTCACTTTGAATGCTAAATCCTTGCATAGTGTGCAGTGCTAACAAGTCCCAATCTAGGCTGATCCCTATTAATACAATGGGTCATGATCAGACTAAAAACTGTAGCATTCAGCTGCCCTCCATGTGGCCTGTTGTTATGGCAGGGTCAGTTCAATGACAGCCCAAGAGATTTTAACACAAGGAGAAAAATATGCAAGTTGCTGAGTTCTGACTGTATGTAACACATATGTGGCTGTTTTTGATTAAAAGTTGTTGTTGTAATTGTGGGGCTTAAAATGCCAGGTGGCGGATGTGTCCCACTAATCCCCTATCTAATTTCGAGGTCCAGGGGTGAAGCTCTTAATCCGAAACACACACATACGCACGTTCATGGTCTTGCAAACACACAGACACACATGTACCTATTCACAGTCACTCCGACACACACACACATTCACCCACAAACACACATATGGACATGCACGTGTCCCTGGTCCTCTCTGTTAACTGCGTTCATGCAAAGTTTTAAAACTTTCAGAAACCCCCGACTTACTTAGTAATGCTTTAATATATGCGCACACCTGCAGACACTCATAAAACATTGTTAACTTCATAAATTTATGCGCTTGTGCTTTGCCTTCATTCCTCCATAAATACATACACAAGTGTATAATATATTAATGGAAGTTGGTTGGCCTTTCTGTCTATTTTGCTTCCTCTTAGCCTTTCACTGACGTGATTACTTTTTATGACAAAGGTTGTTGCTACACATCAGGCCATATTAAGGTACACTTGAGACTGAAGAAAGTGTCAGAGATACAGGGAGATAAGGTAGTTGGCTGCCTGCTCCACCCTTTTACCTCAGTTCACCCCTGCTCCTCTCCACTCTGCTGTATGTAGGTCAGCCACACAGCACACACGCCACGCTCAGTGGATAGCTACAGTGTAACATGGGGAATGTCTGCAATGATTAGCCTTTCACAGCTTCTGTTGGATTTTAACTTGCGCTAAAGTTTAAACAATAAAAACGTGGTGCTTCACTGAACTTTTGTTTATCTTTGATTTTTGTATCAGTTTAACTTTATAATAGCTTTCTTCAGGATTAGTGTTTATCTGTTAGTCTTTTACTGTCTGGCGTTATTTAAATTTGCAGCCTTAAAATAAGTTTTACTTTTAACTACTAGGTGACTTTGTGCCTCTATAGCCTGTTGATAGTGGTATTTCTTTACTGTAAATGGCTCAGCATACTTCCATTTCTTCTTTGTCTTTGTCTCATCCTGTTACCTTATGGTGGCAGGTGTGGTGGCCATGTGTTTTAAGTATGTCTAGTAGTTTACAGCCCAAGCTAAGAGGGAGAGGAAGGAGGGAGGCATGCAGAGAGGGAGGAGGAACCGCCTTGCCCCGGGCGTAGGGTCATCTCAGGTGAAATGTCTCTGGGCACGTGGGCATGTCTAAAAGAAAAGAGGGAGGAGTCAGAGGAGGAGTTTGTTGAGACATGCGATAGGCACAAAAAAAAGTTTGTGATAGGAAAGGAGATCAGAAGAACAGCCAGTCTCATGAAAGGATAGCACAGATACAGTTTTCTAATCAGTTCGGGGTTTTTTTTGTTATACATACGAAGAGCCTAGATGTAGAATTTAATGGCTTGGAATTAAGGGGAGGGAAGGATATGGAGGGAGTAACTCCTGTCCAGACTGCTGTACTGTGAATGCAGAGGGAGTTCCTAATAAAGGAAAAATATGCATCTGAGTGATACATTAAGTGACCAGGACAGTGTTGTGACTTTTTCATGATAGCAACAAGATGTGTGTTCAGACTGGGAGTACTGAGAAAGGTGCCTCGTCAGGGGACCTCTGTCAGTAATGTTGTGGAGAAAGTTTTCGAAACTCAAGGAGGGAAAATAAAATGAGGGTTTTGGGGGGGTGGGGGTGACGCATGATTTCCCAAGCTCAGATATGAAAAGAGGGCGGAGTGGTAGAGAGAGAGAGGGCGGAAAGGACAAAAACAGAGAGAATTGGGGAGGTGGCAAGAGGAAGAGAGAGGCTGCAAAGAGAGGGGGAATGTGAGAGAGAGAGAGAGAGAGAGAGAGCAAGCTTCTCTGCAGGGCGGGTTTCCTGAGGTCACAGTACTGAATATCACAGAGGAATGTGGAATGCTGAATCGCTGCCAAGGCAAACACACCGGCCGCACCACCGCTGCCCCCAATGGCTGTCAAGGGTCGTTTTATATACGCACAAAGGGAGGCAAACACAAAGTCATATATGTGCGTGAGCATATATAGAGTACAATCACACAGAATGCCTAGCTCACACACATGCCTGCACTTGTAGAAAGATTCGTGCTGTCAGCACCTGCAGAAGACGTCACCTCTAGAGCCGACAGCGGGGCTGATGTGATCCCATCGCAAGATGGTCTCTAGTTTGTAGCAGTTGCTGACAGCGCAGAACAGTAATCAGCCACAAAGTTTATACCACAGTTCTCCGCAGCCGTCATTAGAAGGGATGTTCTTGTTTTCAAATGAGCAGTATGTAGAATTGTTTTCATTAGTTTATGTGTGTAGAAGGACCATTAAAATGGACCGTGACAGAATAGCTGAAATGCAAGGAGCTGTAAGTTATTGCAGCTGTGACACAAACTTGCACGAGCGCGCACACACACACACACACACACACACAGAGGAAATACACACGTATAGACATGTGCGTCTACAGTTACGCACAAAGTGAATGACTCATTTACTGCAGGTTGGAAAAACATGTTAAAACACACTCACACATACACTGATCCAGTGACTCATACGCCATGCATACACATGCTAAGCCAGTGTTTGATGTTTTGTCAAGGATTTAGGTTATATCCGCCAGAGGCTAAAAATAAATGCATGAAAGATGTAGAGGCTAGATCACCTTTGAAGACTTCATTTCATGCACAAATGATGAAAAAGCAGAGAGATAAAGTTCTCATCCAAGGGACAAGAAACTCTGTACTCCGCGTTCATTCATACCAAAGTCAAATGAAAATCGTTTTAAACATTCTCATTGGATTGAGTGAAGGACAGTGAAATACAAATTCATATAGGTTCAACGGGATGGAGGATGGGATGCACCTCAGAACAGTATGCAGTCATGCATGGATGTGTGAGTGTGACCATTTTAGTGTGTGAGCATATAAGGATTTACTTGCCCCAGCTCACAGGTCCCAATAAAAGTTAACAAGACAAATTGCTAGGTCTCTGTCTGTGGTTGTTTTTCTAGCTGTTGCGCATTTAGTAATCCCACCCTTTTTCCTTGTGTGCGTGAGCATGTTTAACTGTGTCTTTTTTTTCCCTTCCACCTCCTCTACCCTCCCTCTGTCTCGGAGCATGCCAGGGTCAGAGGTCATAACAACTGAGCCACTCCATCGTTCTTTGATGTGGTGCACCACACAGATGCGTGCACACACATGCACTCGTGCACACACGCATGCAGACACACCAAGGTCAAGTCAAGACAAACAGCCCTCACACTGAGGGCCTTGTGCCTCAGTTTGCTCTCTCAAAGCGCTGACAGCCAAAAAAGAAAAAACAAGGCCAAGGCTTTGATGTGCTCCCATGTTTGCCACATGCACATTAGCAGGTTTTGACAACACCCCCTTAGACCTGGGAAAGGGGCACATCTGTGTGCTTCGGAGCTGCAATGTATGAGCATGAAGAATTGATGTACTTTGTGTCCACAAAGACAAAAAAACTATAGTTTATATTGAGATGAGAAATGCTCAGATGGATGTGGTTGCAGGCATGTGGTGAAAACCCAGAGTCTGAATATTATCCCTGTAAGATCAAGTGCAACATTATCCAGACCTTTCCGTTTTTGGTTGGAGGCTTGGAAGCAGGTTGCAGGAACAGGTAAAATGTTTTGAACCTAAACCAAAAATCTCTTGGACCAACTGAGTGCGATGCTTTATGCTACTATTGCAAGCCCATTATTTTGCTCATAATGTAGACAGACTATGTGACATGTCACTAGAGGTCTTCATCCAGACTATTATTCAATGCTCTTTTTTTTTTTCATAATCTAATTTATAAATTGGCAACTTTATGCCCTACAGGGACCTTTCCCAACCAGTGTTTGTGTTTTCTGTTTAAAGATCATCAGTCAGTGTCTAAAAGTAGGCCGGTTCTAGCGTTTGTTCACACCACAGGAGTTTAAATGAGCTCATTTAATTTGCGCAAGTGTTTGTATGCGCCCATATGTATTTATTTATGCGGTTGCTCACACATGTACAGCCAGAATGCATGTGTGTGTTTTTCATTCTGTCCACACCCTGTCATCTCCCTTCATCCCTCTGTTCTTTCCCTCCCTCGCTCTTAGCTGTGCAGTTGGGAGAGGCAGGCCCGAAGTCAAAAGTGCAAGTGTGCCGCTTGGCTGATGAGTCACAGAGAGGCAGCTTTCCCCCACTGTTTGTAAATATGTGGTTACCCTAATTGAACGCAGCTCCAGTTCCTAACAACTTTCATTTCTTCTTCTTTTTCTGAGTGTGTGTGTGTGTGTGTGTGTGTGTGACCACAGCTGGAGGAGCAGGAATCACATGACTGTGACAGTCGCAGTGGGAAAAAAAATTGCACATACATACAGTCACATATAACAAAGATGGAGAGATCCACTCACGCGCACACCTGGGGTCCAATTTTTACTGGGCGAGAAAGGGTTGTAACAAATCTTTCTACGTCTCTGCTTTTCCTTCTTTCTCACACACGTGCACGCACAGAGCAACTTTAACATCTCTCCATAATTACAGGCTCTAAGTTCCCAGTCTGGAGGCTGTGGTTTGGCTGCCCCTCCTCTCCCTCCATTAAGACACTAAACAGCGTGTGTCACTCAGCACTTGGACAACTCCTCCCCAGAGGTGGCAGCAGGGGGCCAATAAATGTACACTCTAATACACACATAAGCACACACACAATCACACTTTATGTCTCTCACTAACACACACACACACACACACACACACACACACACACACACACACACACACACACACACACAGCAGGTGTTAGTGAGGGGCCAGTAAATGTTTTCCCTGAGGGCTTTGTCTGGGTGGCACTGTCAGTGCTACTGCCAACTACCAAAGCTCATCTCTGTCCATTTTAAGATAAGATGAGATAAGATAAGGTAAGGTAGGGCAATTTATTGTCTCTCATACGAGGAAATCATTCTGGAAAAGAACAAAAACCAATAAACATCACAACAGAAAACCTAAATGGGCAGATGTTTTTGCAAATTTGCTAACATAAATTTTACTAATTGCAGGAAAGCTTTGTAGAATTAACAAAGCCAGCCTCATGTTAACTAAATTGCAGACTACCCCAAGGTGTGATATTACCCTGTTATGAGACAGAATTGCCAAAGTATTGCACTTTGCTATTGCTATCCTCAAACTAACATTGAAATAGGAACTCCTCTAATCTCCTTGGCTAACTGGGTGAGGGAATTAGATTTTGCTAGTCACCAGCGTATCAGCCTGAATCTAGCATATCAGCTCCAATCTGATGCTCAGCCACAACAACATGCTGGTTTTGTGGGAGTGAAGCGAAGCAATGGGAAAAACAAGCAATCCCTTTTCATTTAAAACATCGCTATCACAGCACGCAGCTTGATAAACCTTGACCCTGGTGTTAATCCTGCCCATCGTGCTGATTGCCTAATTATTGGTCATCCTGAAGTTGTATATTGGACCACTAGATTGTTAGGCAATAAATTGCCAGAGTCCCAGAGGAACAAGATTCAAGCATCTAGGCAAAGAAAATCTTGCTGTGTACTCCTAATTTTGTAAAACATCCTAATATGTCTTTCTGTTAAACTTACTTTTGCTGATACGCATTATCAAGTCTCTTATCTCTTATTTTGGCCTCCTGACTTAACTGCAACTTCCTGTGATATCTGTGCAGACTCAGAATTGGGCTTTACTAAAATTGTCTCTGCCAACCCTTATCATTGCAGCATAGACTTAGAAATGTCATATTTAGGTCCTTAAATAGTTTTAATAGAACTAATTAGATTATGTCCTCCTTCTTAAGCCCAGGAGCACCTGGTACAGAATTAGACTTTATTTTAACCTATTTTTTCTTATGTAGCAGTTTTTTTCCTACAGTCCTACCTTGACTTAACTTACTGATCCATGAGCCTTTTAGTAAACAAACATGAGAAAATGTTCCCCGGATTTAAGCCTATTGACTTCATCCTGTGCAATTCTAGAAGGCGGTCTGATACAAAATCCTTTTTAATTTATCTTACAGCACCTTGATCTGTAAAGTTTGGCTTTAAAGAACCTTCACAGACAAAGTTTGGCTTTGTTGGCGGCTGGGTGCATATGAAGATTTAGTAACTTTACCTGTTCTAACTGAACTCTGAAATCATCACCTTGTTTGGTCAGTTATCATCATCACTAGAGAAAGATTTTGTTGATTTGAATTTGTTGCTGAGTTTTTAAAATAAGAATCAGCTTGTTAAGATCAGTTTAATGACATTAATTAATGAAGTTTAAAAATAAAACGATCTCAGAATTGCCTCTGTGGGAAATGATGAACCAGTTGTAAACATTAGGGTAGCGATACAAACTATATATAGGTTCAGATATACATTTTTAGCTGTAGCATTCTCACTTCCTGCTCCCTTGTTACACCATTGCATTGGCTCTTGGTGTTTATTCTGTCACCTGCAGCTCCATTTGTGCCACATTTTACACTGCAGTTCATCTGTACCTAATTTGAATTTGATTTGATTTACCTATGATGACTTGTGCTTGACCTTCCACTTAGGGTCATGGCACAGTCAGTTGACTGTGGAGGAGTCTTTTTTCCAGGAGTTTTTTGACCCTGCACGGACCCTGCACGCACTAACCAGTCTGTATGTGGTGGAGACATATTGGTGTTAGGATTTCTGGCCTAGTCTAGTGTTGTTAATGACCGATTAATCGACTGGTGACAGTATATCTCAGTGCCAAAGCAGCTTAGCCTCTCTGAGCACAGCCAGAACACCCTGTGATTGTGTGTTGCACATGTGGGGACATTTGTGTAGCGACACCACACTGCTATAGCACATTTGCCTATCCCAAAGTACACGACAGAATGAACTGTACCAGCTGTATGTCACTAATAATTCCTCTGCATTTGTAAGGTAAGCACCGTGATTACCACTGTGCAATACGATTAGCGGTGTATGATCAAAAAGCAACATGGGCAAAAGAGTTAGTGACTAAAGGAAACACATGCAGCTGTGCAGACCCGACTCATGCACACACTGGTCGGACGTTAAACACAGTTTAAATCCACTCGAGGATTACAAATCCACTTATAGCGGGTCAACTTGACGATGTCAGCTGCTGATCCCACACAGATCCTGCGGCCCTTTCACATCGCTTCATGTTGCAAATTTGAAAGAAAAAAATATGAACACGGTGAATTCCCCAGTGGGTAGTTGCAATGCATGTGTGCACGAGGGAAAAATGCATGCACATAGTCACTGCAGGGCATTACGGCCACGCTGTTTTCTGTGTGTAGTCCAGATGCTGAGACCTTGCACTCTGTGGAGACTGAGAACCGCTGCGTGTTTTACAAGAAGACCAAATAAGAGAGTGTAGCAGCAAGGAGTGAAGAGCAGAGCTTTTGCATCTGTTTTTGTATTAGCATGGTCCAGTGAAGGAGTACATCGTCTGAATGAGTAATGACACATATGATATTGACTTTAATCACATCTGTTTATGTGATTTCATCTCCCTCCATTCCCATTGGACCTCCCCTAGTTCTTGGATTGGGCTGCTGCCTGGTCTGCCAAAAATAATCGCTTGTTTGCTGCTATTTACTTAAATCTGTCAAAGAGGCACTGTTGGAGCTCATGCTGTTATGGTTCTCTCTTTTGCACTGTGTGTATCTGCATTTGTGTATGCATATCTTTAAAAGGATGTGCCAATGTCTAAAGTCCTATACTGTTTTGTCAGTTGTGTGTGAGAGTCAAACGTATCCAGGGATCCCAAGCCAGTGGATACACACACACACACACACACTCTCTCTTTCGCATACACACATGCAACTAGAGCCAGCTAGCTAAAGAGTGTGATACGCCTCAAGATCTATGTGAGTAGAAACCTGGCAGACACACTGGGTTCATCTCACCATCTCTCAGTGTGAGACTAGAGGTCTGTGAAAAAAAAAACCATCCTCAGACTATAACACACACACACACGCACGCACGCACATGCTCCCAGCGCCTTAGAGAAGTAAAGACGTGTCAGACAGTGGTGTTGGGGGAGATTTGTGTGGTTTGGATGTTTGCCTTGGTCAGATGAGCGATGTCATTTTTCCTCCTACTTTATGAAAAACGAAGGAGGGGGAGAGTGAATGGTCAAAGAGCATGCAAGGTGAGAGGATGCCAGGCAGATGTCAGCTCACACTTCCCCTCCCTTCTTCTTCAGCTTATGTTCTTTCTTCATTTTCTGTCTTGGTCCTGTTTAATCATTTCTGCTAACTCCCCTCTCTCTCATCTTTTCGCTTTTCACTTTGGAGTCTGGAGGCAGGCTGCTCCCAGCTGGAAATGGGTCTGAAAGCATCCAGGGATATATCAGTTATTATTAAACCCACTCTTTGGTTGCCAAATACTTCATCACTCATGTGAACACATGCACAAATATGCACACATACACACACCACCTGACAAAGTGAAGCAACCACATTTCTGACAGACGATAGACATTTAAAAAGAAGAACAAAACAGCATCTTTCTGATTAGAAATTGAGGGGTTGGTCTTCCGCAATTTGATGGCAAAATGGTTAACATATGTCAAAGCTGTCTTCTCAGAGTACAAACTTGCAGAGCATCTTTTTGGAAGTCCTCTTTGTTATGCCGTTGATCCCACCACACCCAGTGGCCTGCGGTCCTTGTCCAAACTACACATTTGCAGTCAATCCCAGGCTCATTAAACCCTCTAAACACACTTTCTGTGATGAAGACATTAAGACTTGAGCTCACTTAACAAAAGTCAAATGGTTGCCTTAAAATGATGAGCTAAGCTGTTGTTTAAGGAAATATTTTCTTCATGTCGTGTTAAATTTTGCATCCTGCTCATTTTAATTGATGTTATTCACCTGTTTTGCATTTATTTGACAAGCCATTCAAAGCAGGTGAAACATACATTAGGTACCAGATAATTTTCTACAGGACAGCTTTCCACTTTGCTACAGCAGGCATTTAACAGGTAGTTAAAACACTGAAATTATTTTTAGAGAGAAAAGCTTGTTGTTGCATTGCATTGTTTAAAGATCGAGTTAATTTTAAAAATGAATGGGGTGGAGGTGAGGACACACACCTGCAGATGTGCAGTACTTTGTATGCAATAGTGGAAGAGATCAAAGAGGTGCAATTCATATTGAAATGCATGAGGCAGAAACTTTTACAGCTTCCTGCATTTACATGAGGTTAATGAGATGAAATTATAGCATGACAGCACATGCACATCTTCTGAAATGTAAAGCTTCAAATCAGTAGTTGGTAAATGTTATGACTGTTTCACTATAGGAGACTGCATTAGTTAAACTGTTAGCAGTCGGACGTACCGCCCACGGGACATTGGATGGTTTAGGGGACTAATAGGACTGCTAAGGGGTTAAAATATCAAGCGAATAAACTGCAACAGCTATAGATGCATTTTTTATTCTTAAAATATCTGAATAGTGCACAATTAGCATTGCAAGACTTCATTCAGTACACTGCAGCTCATGTATGTGAAACATGAACTCAGTTACACTTTTAGTTTAAATCAAGTGTAGATGTCTGTGTCAGTATTCCTTTTGGTAGTAGACTGTATTGCTTTCACTTCCTCCCTCCATCATCCGTTGCTGTGTCTGCACGCGCTCAGAAAAATCTGAGATAGCAGAGCTTATTTTCCTCCTGTTAGAAGAAGCCATTCATTATACTGGTCTTACTTAAACAGGATGAAAAACAACTTCCCCAGAACAAGGTAATACACCTATCACTGTGGACACGAAGCCAAGGAATCCATTGTACTTTCATGAGCATTAAACATTTTTCCTGTTAATCACTCGACACCCACAGGAGGTAACAGGACATGGCGTCTTCTCATATCTTCCATATTTATTCTATAGTTATTGTTCAGATAACAGCTCGTCTTTAAGGAATGTTCTACAGCACAAAGTTTGTGATTTAACCAACACAGACGTCTTCCATCAAAGCGTATGAGTGGTAAAAAAAAAAAAAATTACAAACAGTCAAAAAATTGCACAAATTACCACAGCCCCTAAGAGGAGTTTAAAAAAACCTATCTGCTAAAAATCATAGACTATTCAAATAACTGAAAATAACTACTAATAAGAAAACCTAAACAATAGAGATAGAGATTACTTTATTTAGTTTATTTAGGTTCCCTGCTACTTTAATTAGAGGTTTTTAAAATCTTATTTTAATTTTAAGTCGCAGTCTATTGGATTTGATCTGAATTTTGAATTCCAACATGTGGTTGCCTGTGAGTCATGATCTGAGGTTTTCTTGGTATTATGTCCATTCATCCAAGAATCCTTTAGGAAATTCCTTTGAATTAAGAAACTTTTTGTTTTCCAGTAGTTCAGATGTTATAAAGTTTTTGAACATTTATACATTATTTGAAATCCTTTTTTTTTTAAATCAATGTGTTATTAATTGTATTTTGTCCTGTGTCATCCTATAATATCACTTAATACGTGTTAATCATGTCAAAAGTCAAGTTTCTGTGGTTGAACTTGAACTTGATCCTGATCCTGAACCAGAGCTGTTGCTTTCCCTCTCCTTTCTCTCTCTCCCTCCCGCCCTGTCTCTCTGTCTCTCTCCCCTCACCCCCCTCCCTCATTGTTGGGATTAAGGAGCAGTGGCCGCATCAAAGGCCTGTCACCACTAGAGTTAATGGAGCGTCACACATGTGCATTCACACACACAGGCATGAGAGACAGGTCCTGCAACTTGAGATGGGGGTATTTGGAGATTTGGGATGGGGGTATTAACAGTATACAAAGGAAAGAGAGAATGCTAAAGAATGGGTTAGAGGGCAGGGTATGGAAAGCATGTGTGAAAATGAAATGTTACAGTACAGACTCTAATAAATCCTGTGTGTGAGCATGCAATTATGAAAAAAGCTGGAGCAATGAGAGGTCATGGTTAGAGGTCGAATCCTTTAAGAGTACATGGGGGAAGTTTGTATTCATAAGAAGGAAAGAAGAGTCAAACAGAAAGACCCTTTATTCACTGGAGAGAAATGTATACTGTTATCAGACACACACATGTTACTGGCAAGCATAGATTATATACATAACCACACACAATGACGTGCACCTTCCTGAAATATACTCCCACACACATACACAAATGAACGCATACCAGCAGAGCTGGGTTAACAGGGTACAGTTCCTGTTACTTCCCTGATCAAACAATGGCAGCTCTATTACAGGCCTGACAACCCAGACTATGTCGAGAGAGAGACAGATGCAAAAAGAGAAGGAGAGAGGCAGAAAGAAAGGGGGCAGACAGAGATAGAAGGGGCAGCAGGCTGAAGAAAAGCAGTCAACAAAACAGGCTTGCCAGAAAAAAAGAGGCTCAGAAGGAGAAAAGAGCGATCTTGTTACATACAGGATATACTGTAGAGTCCTCCAGGGTTTTGTCTCCTTAGAAGTTGCAAGACAGAAACTGTATTTCATTACCTGAATCAAAATAGCCACCTGTGTTGTGGGAATGACTTCGGCTGCATGTGGATTTGTGCTTGCTCTATTCACAAGCCCAGAAATATGAATTTGAGTTGTGCATGTGCTTCTCTCCAGTGTGCTGTACATTAGGAAGTGGCCAGACAGTGTTTTGTCCCTTCTGTTTGACACCAGCGTGTACAGAGCCCCTGTAAGGACACAACCTTTGCTTGGAACAAGCCACCCCTGTGTTTTCCCTCCTCCTTCTCCTCCTCCTCCTTCTGCATATCCTGCCTGCCCCGTCTCTCCAGGAAACGCTCCTCCTCCTCCCTTCCTTCCTCCCTCCCTCCCTCCCTACCTCCTCACCCCCACTTCACTGCTGTCTGGGCCTTTATCACTCCTCTGCCTCCTTCCTCTTTCTATCTATCTGTTAGGATGAAAGAGTCAGTGAGGGAGTACGTGTGAGGGAGCATTCCCTGTGTGCATAATTGTCTGCGTGTGTGTGTGGGTGAGCACTTATGTGTCTTTGTGTGTACATGCGTCTTTGTCTGTGCAAGTGTGTCTTTGTATATGTGATTAAAATTCTGTTGACTCTAGCGAGCTAGCTGTGTGAGGGCTTCCATTGAGTCAGAGCAGGTGGGCTCCTGCTTCTACAGTCCTGCTAATCACTCCTTCCTCTGGGTGACTGACTGGGTCAGGCAAAGGGCAGCTGACATACAGACAGCCCACTGTTGATGCCAAATAGTGAGGAGAAGTCAGTGGATGGTGAGACCTTGCTAGGTCCCACCCCCAAAATTGGTCAGCTGTTCCGTTTTTCATGTGGACTTTTCTGTGATTTCCTTACTTAAATGCTTAAGAAATATGTGTTCGTTTTTACAATATAAATTTTACAATATAAATTTAGTGCCCAGAGCAAAGTACACTGCTTTGCAGCACCTGTAAAAATTCATTCACAGTACAAATGTATTTTAAAATGACTCAGCCTGTCCAGCTGTCAAACAATGCTGGCAATAAGACAAACTTTCATCACTGAATGGATGTAAGAGACAGTTTTGGTTGTTAGGCAAAATAGAAACTCAGCATTACATCATTCTACACGGCAGGTGTAATTGTTGCTGTGCTATTAGTGGCATCACTTTTTTGTATTTTAGATTATTCAGTAAATTGACTATAGGATGAAAATATAAAGTCCTTTATGGATGAACATAGTTATTCTGCGTGTTTGTTCTCTGATCATAGGGAAAGTTGAGGAATACTTTTGCTTCTTTCAGGGGGTTTTTTTCTTTTCAAATGAATCATCTGTGTTTGTCACTTTTTCTGTGCTTGAGCTTGTCAGATCCACCAAAGCTTCAGATCAGCCTGGTGGAAGCATGGGTCTTGATAAAGTTGAAAGTTTCCAAGATGGGAAGTCTGTGAACAGCATGACTGCTGTCTTGGCCACCGGTCAGATAAGCTTCTGTCATGCACTGAGACAGCTCATTAACCCTGTGAGTCGACA